AGTGTACGTGATTAATCATTTGGGCACTTCATGGCGGGACGTACAGTGTACGTCTCCCGTCACGAAGGGGTTAAAATAAAGTCTGCTGTGGCCTGTGGGCTCTTGCCATAATATGCAAGTTTGCTACGCATACTTGCACATTATGGCACTTTTACCAGACAAGTGTGCTCTCCTCCAAAGCTGACCAATCTACTCTCTCAGCCGCTGCTCCTCCATCCACTGTAGCCACCATACTCCCTGCTTCTTCCTTCGGGTCCCCAGTCGAAAGGGTTTGGTTTTTACTGCTATTCATGGCTCTGTTAGAGAGATTTCCCCCCCACTTCCTGTCCTGCTTTTCTTTAGAAGAGTAGGAAAAAACTAAAACCCCTTTCTGACTTTTTTTTAATCTGTGTCTTTGTTGCAAATTTTCCCTAACTTACTTTCTATCTTAGTGCTTAGTTAAACTTTCCAATTTATTCAATCACTGTTTAACAGGATCTGATTTTAATCCAATTGTGTGGTATCATTAATATATTTATTTGTATCCATATCTATTAAACAATAGGCTTTTGTTCTAAATAATTAATTATATGTACACGCCTCCCACTTTGATTTTGAACCATCCTGCAGCCTTTCCTCCTGTCAGGGACAGCTGCGGACACAGTCAGAGCAAAGAGCAACAAGTTCTTTCACCTATAGCAGACACAGTTACCATAAGGCAAGTAGGCCTACCACTACTTGGATGCCCCCAGAACTTATGCTTGGGGTCTGCCACAGGCCGACCCCAAGTATCAAGCAGAGGTACAGACTGGAGAAGAAAGACACAACTAGAGAGTACTCCATGGACAAGCTGAGGTTAAAGACTGGCGTCTGGCAACAGGTAATCCAGGCACAGGGCGAGGTCCGGGCAGCTGGCTGGCAAGAGTAATCTGGGCACAAACTGAGGTCAGGGCTGGCAGCGGGCAAATCGTAATCCTGGGACAGGCCAAGGTCAGAACCGGAGACAAGATTTCCAGGGACTGAGCATGGCTCGTGTAGCAAAAACTATCACAAGCAAAGAGGAATAGATTGATAATGCTTAAATAGGAAGCCACCAGAGACTAGGCCAATCCCAGGGCTGGAGGTGTTTGGTCAGATTCATTAAACCAAAGGTGACTAGGCTAGTGCTGCAGCCAGAAAAACACACAGAGACAAGATAATTAACTCACACCAGACAAGGCTGCAGTCAGCAATATAGGCTGCCTGAACAACACAGGCTTCCTGACACCTCCCCTAGAGTAACCTGGCAATGGCAACTAGCAGTCCAGTCAGGATATGTATAGGTATCTCCTGAAAATAAAATTTAGTTTAATGGCAACAATGTGTAGAGGTCAGTAGCAGCCACTTAGATTTCAGCCTGCTGGAGTCAGTTAAGGTGCCCATACACCTTTCGACCATCGCAAGACTTTGTCTTGCGATGGTCGTATGCTTATTGAAAGCTCGTACGATCTGCCCACCTTGGACGGGCAGATCGTACTTGCGATCATCGAAAGCCCGCCCCGCTGAGGGGCGGCCTTCCGATGACCGCAATGCAGAACGGGCAGTGTGCGCGTGCGCACACCGGCCCGTTCCGCAGCTATCGACGAGCAGGCTAGAAACTCGCCGACAATCGTACGATTCTCGGCGGGTTTTCGAGCATGTTGGCTCGACAAAAGACGTGCGAACGTACAGTAGAAACGGTCGCACGTCTTCGTTCACACTGCTCGATTTTTGTACGATCGCGGGATTTCACCCGATTCTCGTACGAGAATCGAGCAGTGTATGGGCACCTTTAGCCTCATTTCACACCTGAGAGTTTTGTTGCACGTTTCCCAAAGTGTGACAATGTTCAACATGTAGAATCCCATTATTTTTAATGGTGCCCCTTCACAGCTGAGAGTTGTCACCTATAGCTTATAGCTCAAAAAATTACATGAACTTCTTTTTGGAGAGAATCATGTGTTTTTGGCCCATAGACTTTAAAAGAAGTGCCCAAAAAAACCATGCAAAAACGCACATTCCTAGTAACTTACTATCTATTGGCTCAAACACTCAAGCCTGAAAATGCCTGAAAAGTGCACAAAAACCCTGCAAAAAACCCGCAAACACTAAGTTGCCTGAAATATGCTCAGCTCAGATGTGTATGATATTGTCACCTTGCCCATGCATGTGATCTCCAGATTTACTCTGGAGTTGACACACCTCTGGCGCAATACTTTTTCAAAGCTGAAAATGGCAATTTAAGTAAGGCAAGCCATCTGCCTCCAAAATAAAGAGGCCATCCAGGAGGCACATGACAGGGTCACATTGGATGTTAAGCCTCACACCAACGTCAGAAACTGGGTTGTGTAGTATACCCTGTGAATTATAACAGTTAGATCAATCTATGAGACAAAGATAAGGAGAATAAATGGACTTATAAAGGGGTGCACGATAAAATGCCAGGTAGTTTAGAATTTAAGTCTGAGTTGTGCTGCTTTACCTCTCATGGATAGTTGTGAATATGTAGACCTGTAATCTCTCCTTCATAATGGTTAGATGTATGAAGAGTTATACAATTGTATAAGTGTCTGTGGTACATTGCCATCAAGTGGCCATTTGAAAAATTAAAGGGCAAATATATAAAGCATTGAACATATCTCCCAACTTTCTGATATGAGGAAGAGGGCCATCTTCCAACACAATGAGGGGAATTTACATGGCAACTAATCAGCTTCTCTCTTTCATTTTCACATCTTCACTGAACAAACTGAAGAGAGAAGCTGATCGGTTGCCATGCTCGTCTGCTCTAGTTTTTATCTGCTCCAGTTTTTATAAATTCCCCCCAATGTATTTATGAAATAGACACGCTCCTCCCTCCAGTTATGTGACCCATTAAGGATTTGTATGGCAATAATGATTGGTTAATCTCAAATTGTTTTTTTTTTCACCATTACAGTACTTTTCCTTTATACTGGCTTTTTGAAATCGCAAACATGATAATTAAGAGATAAAGGTTCAGAGCATATTAATGATTTTTGTAGTTAAACAGTACATTTTCATAGATATCTGAACATCAGACCAAAAAGAGGCACAACTGAAAAGTAAAGAGGGACATTTGGTTCCAAATGAGGGACAATTGGGAGGTATGCATTGAATGTAAAACTCACTAAACATTCCCACTTGTTTTATTTTAGCTGACGTTCTGTCCTTTGATTGTAATAGTAGAGTAATGTATTTAAAGGAAATCCGTCATGAACAAAACATGGAGGCAGGTATTGCTGGGTTCTCCTTTTAAAGATGATAGTTTCTATAGTTGCTGTTATTCAGATCCACTGGCTTCAAAACATTGAGTCAGCAATTAAACAGCATTTCCAGTAGAAGTCAGAAGTGTCAACCTCTATGGGGTCTATTCACGAAGCTGCCGAAGGATCTAGCCGTAGCTTCGGCCGATCCTTCGGCTAGCTTCGGCCCCAGGACCCCTTCGGTTCAGTAGAACCGAAGGGGTGCTGTATGGGCTATTCACAATAGCCCGTACAGCTCCCGAACCTGGCCGAGCGGCTCAGTCGAGCCGAACGCATATGCATCGGCTTGGCTGAGCCGTGCTGAAAGCCGAAGCTGGCCGAGCGGCCGGCCATTGGCCGGCCAACAGCCTGCTTTTGACAGCTGGGCGGAGCCAGCCGTGATCTTACGGCTGGCTCCGGCCACTTGCAGAGAGATCAGCGTCCCTGGTTACCTGCTAACCAGGGACACTGATCTCCAAACAGCAAACTCTCCCTGGCGCCCCAGGAGTCTCCTGCTCCCGGCCGCCAAGGAGAGAAACACTGCTGTGTCTTTTTTTTTTTTTATTCTGACACGAGCGATGTCACAAAAAAAAAAAAATTCCCATTGAAAAGCATTGGGACATTACTATTGGCTATTTCAATTTGCAATAGCCAATAGTAAACTAGCATTGTACCCGCCCTCTGCTGCAGTTCTCCATCAGGTCCATCAGCAGAGGGCGGGTACAATGCTAGTTTACTATTGGCTATTGCAAATTGAAATAGCCAATAGTAATGTATTTATTTTTTTTTCCATACACTTTGCGATAATCGCAAAGTGTATGGAAGGCGTGCGACCGTTTCTACTGTACGTTCACGTGTCTTCCGTTGAACAAGCAGGCTGGAAAACCCGCCGAGAATCGTACGATTCTCAGAGAGTTAGTGGCCTGCTTGTTCGACAACTGCCGAACGCCCCGGTGTGCGCATGCGCATACTGCTCGTTTTGCGATAATCGCAAGTACAATCTGCCTGTCCAAGATGGGCAGATCGTACGTTTTTTTAATTACTTTACAACCCTCGCAAGACAAAAGTCTTGTGAGGGTTGTAAAGTGTATGGCCACCTATAATAGAGAGTCCTACCAGATAGCACAGTCAGGTGGGTGACCAGACTTTACTTTATTAGAGTAAAGCAATACAGCTTTCCCACCTCTGTTTTCTCCTCCTGTCAGAGTATTATTTGCCAGCTCACCGCAGTATGCTTGATTGGCTCCTAATGATCTCCCTCGTCCAGTCTGAGTGCTGCTGTTTAGGCGATTACAAGAGGCTGATACCAATTCAAACTGCATTGACTGGTGTTTCTTTAATGAATTCCTGAAGTTCATCTTTACACTTCAATTGAAGCCAAAACTTTTTTTAGTTTTGGATAGAGTGGAGTGAGATAAGAACACCTGTCAGATTTTTATTGTTGCCTGTGTATCCATTAGAGAGGTTCACCCTCTCTATTTGTCCTGGTGACCGCTATCACTGTCATCAGAATATGAATAGATGGCAAATCTTCCAACGTTTAGATGGCAAATCTTCCAACGCTTTTACTGTTGACCCTGCTGGCCAGCAGAGATTTCTCTCACTTTGGGGGGATTTCTTCTCACTTCCTGTTGTGGCTGTTGAACCGGATGTGAAGGGAAAACCCCCAATGGCAAAAATAAAGGTGTCAGAGCTTACACACACAGCCCCCCGCCTTATACTATCAAAAAATACAACAACAAAAAAGATTTAGCTTAAGTTCTACTTTCATTGATTTTTGAAATGTCTAGAACTTGCAGTATTTTGCATAGTTTAGCAAATCCCCAAGCTTTGTCTTATCAAGATGTTGTTGGAACTTTGCATCCACTTCTTTGCTCTGTTCTTCATTGAAGAGGCTCTTCCAGTCTCCAATTTGTCCTGTTCCAAAAACAAAATTTCTAGATTTCTTAACATAAAACAGCACTAAGAGAGACAGGTGTTTTTGTTATGTAACAAAGACAGTCCTGTTCCTACATAACGTCTTTCGCAATGATAGTACTGGTGATATTGGGGCAAGGTGAAATCATCTGAATAAAGGATAGTATATAGCGCCTACGTATGTGCACTTGCAGTCAGCTGTAGTATATCTGTGGATCTAATGTTTTACTATTCTGCCCTCCTGTTATTATACATAGACTGTGGTGATCTCAATGTAAGCACCCTTCTCCCCTTTCTGCAGTCTAAAAGTTTAAATAGGAAAGACAAACAGGATCACCTGAGATCTCTTTTTCATTCAGGCCTCGTTCACACCAGATGCAGTGCGTTCCGGCCCGATTCTGGGCAGAACAAACTGCCTTGCATTGTGGCCGGCTCACTTTTTTGTGGGGCAGGAGGGGAGTGGCGGTCCATTAAAGTGAATGGCACCTTAGCCACGCCCTCCGACCGCAATGCGATCGGCTGCACGGGATCGCAAGGCACATTATGCCTGTGGTCTGGTGCAAACAAAATTTTGTTCGGACCGGACTGCAGGCATGATGTGCCTTGCGATCATGTGCGGCCGATCGCATTGCGGTCGAAGGGCGTGGCTACGGTGCCATTCATTTAAATGGACCGCCACGCTCGATGCGAGGCAGTGCGTTCTGGCCAGAATCGTGCCGGAATGCACTGCATCTGGTGTGAACGAGGCCTAACTCTTTTAATTTTGTTTGCATATGATCACTATATCGGTTTTGCTAAAATCACAATAGCTGCATCATACTCCCTAAAGAAAAACTAAAGTTTATTTGCAATATGCACCTAAATGGGCCACTGGGAGGTAAGTATAGTAGTTATTCAGGAACTGCAAGAGTGTAAGGTGTCACTTTAAAGCTGCAATCTGGGCACACAGTACTGCCAGGCAGGGGAGGAGATCTTTTCTTCTCTTGCTGCAGTTTCACCTTCCATTGTTTAAGTTTAAGTATCTGAATTTGTCTTGGTATCAGCCACTTGCAGTCTATGTACAGCAGAGCTCACGGAGGAGAAGACAGAAACTGAGGAGACCATGCTCCCCACCCTGAGACTTGAAAGTGAAATGAGAATCAGCACACTGATGAGCTCATCTCTCTGTTACTGCTCTCTTTTCTTTCAGCATGCTCTTTGCACTGCAACACACCTGGTTACCTTTTTGTGCTGCTTTTGCCTTCTCCTCTGTGAGCTCTGCTGTACAGAGGCTGATACCAAGACAAATTCAGATCATTAAACTGTTTGTATTAAACAAAAATAATATGTAAAGATACAATATATTACTGATTACAAAGCTACATTAAGTTGTGTCTTTAGTTCAGATGTAACATTTTGACTTTCATGTGTATATTTAAAAACAATTAAAAGAAATAGAAGTTCTGTAAGGCCCCTTTCACACGGGCAGTCTGATCAGGTCCGACTGTCACTTTTTCAAGCGTACCCGATCGGATGCCCAATGTAAGTCTATGGGCAACCATCTTTAAACAGATGGGCGTCCATTTACACCCGGTTACCCCCAACTCCGGTCAGGTTCAGAAAAACAAACGGAACAGAGTTCCATTTTGCCGTAACAGACTTTGCCGGATTGGGGGTAATCGTAAATGGACATATGTCCATTTACATCCGGTTCCCCATAGACCAACATAAGGTCTGGGAATTGCAGTTTTTCCTCCATCCCAGGGTGGAGCAAAAAACTGCATGGATACAGATGTCACAGTAGTGACATCCGCTCCTTACTGCTGTTGATCAGAAGAGGATCCGTGCACAGATCCTCTCCTGATCAGTCCGTGGGAAAGGGGCCTTACTTATATTTGGTTAAAGATACTGTAAAGACTGATTTCTGAAACCTAGAACCTGAACCAGTGTATAATTATATTCTATGCCAATTTTTAGAATCACAACCTTTTCTGAAGAAAGCATCACCAAGTTTTCCATGTGTGTCTTCAGATTTCTGTTTCATAGATGTAAAAGAAGTCCGACGTTCTACCTCACAAAGTTGCTCATCTGTCAATGGAAGTCCAAAGAATTCTGATATTTTTTTCAGTTGCGTTAGAAAATCCTTAAAGTGAAAATAAACAAATGATTAGTTGTATTTAAACTATAGATAGCATAGTAAAAAATGTTTACATTTATATGCTGTTGATGGAGATCTAGGGAGATATGCAGAAAAACAGAAATTCCTGTGCTCATCACACCCCCTACAATTTAATAAAAGATAGTATCTCCTCCCTCACTGAGCTCATGGATTCCAGATTTAAAGTATTATACTACGGATCATGGAACACTAATAGGAGACTAATACTTAAACAATATTGTGGTCTGTTGGGCACAACCCTCATTTGGTTCCAATATTTTTTGACTTGAGTTGTCAAAAAATATTGAGTTGCAGTGAGTTGTCAGCACAAGTGTTAGGCTCCATTCACACAGGAGTGGTTGTCCAGGCGTATTTGGCCGGCCGAATACGCGGGAAGCCGCTATAAATAGAAAAAACAATGCACCTTAAATGTGCATTGTTCAGACATTTGCGTCGGCCGCGCAGTTTGAAACTGTGCAGTCCGCAAAATAGTCCAGTTGTGATTTTTTGACGGGGAGCCGCTATAAATAGAAAAAACAATGCACCTTAAATGTGCATTGTTCAGACATTTGCGTCGGCCACGCAGTTTGAAACTGTGCAGTCCGCAAAATAGTCCAGTCGTGATTTTTTGACGGATTCCACACATTCATGGCTATATAATAGCCGCATACGAGCGGAATCCGTGCGGATGAAAGATTTTAGTGTTTGTGTTGCCTCGCGGTCTTCCGCACGGAAAACCGCGTGGGAAATGCAAACGCTAAATGTGAATGGAGCCTTAGAATTTGGCACAACACAGGACAAGTTGAGTACTCAGAATAATAGTTTATTTTGGAGTAGTTTAATGTTTGTCAAATTAAGTCTACAGGCGTCGGATATTTTTTGATCAGTTGTGTTGGAAAATCCTTAAATTGAAAAGAAACAAATGTTCAGTTATTCAGGTACAATAGTGACAATGTCTTAATGTTTATATTTTGTTAATGGAGATTTAAAGATTTGAAAAATATATATTTTTGTACCCCCCTCCTTATAAAAAGAACAATCCCTCCCTCACAGAGCTTATAGGTTTTACTTAGTGCTATAATGTATGGCATTATGGACCATTAAATATTAATACAAGATTAATGCTAAAGCAATATTGTGGTCTGCAAGGGACACTTGTTTCCAGACCTTCTTGACAGACTGGAGCCAGTATTTTTGGTGCAGAGTTGTCAGCACAAAGGGTGTAGAGGGTGTAGCACAGGTATTCAGAACAATGGTTTATTTTGGGTTAGTTTAGTAGTTATGTTATGTTTTAGGGCAGGCATTAGAGGTTTTGTACATTCTTAAGTATTTTAATACAAGAAACATTAAAGTGAAACACACAGGCAAAGTATAATGATCTGGCAAACAATACCAGCCAACATCACACATAATCAAATACATGACAACAACAACAACCAAATGACAAAAAAAGAGCACAATGAAGAGTCAAAATGAGCACAAGCATAGACAGAATATATCCTATGTCTCTTGTAGCAAACAAAAAAGAAATGGGTACAATAACCGTCAAAAACAACAGTAAAAGTTCTTCTTGCTTCTGCCTACAACAAGGCAATATCCAGTAGACACAAAATCAACCACTGTCACAATTAAAAGAAACAGAAAAAGGAAAGAGAAGAATCAGAAAAGAAACAAGAAGGCAGAGAAAAAGGAAAGGGGAATAATCCCACAAAGGAATCAAGGGGACCAGCAACCTGGTAAGCCCAGAATGTGGAAAACCCCAATAAAGAGACATGCAGTAATAATTCATGCCCAGTGGTGTGGGGAGCCGAGGTGATGAGTTGTATTCCATTTTTAAAATTCTAACACATATTCAGTCCACTCACCACAGCCAGATGTTCACACAGCTTGACACTGGTAATACTGTTGCAAAAAAGGTGGATAGCGGCACACCAACATAGTCCAAAAGTAGCTTCCTTATTGATCCATAATATCAATAACACAGGAACTGAACAGAAACTTCTAATGTGTTTCAAGCACACAGGCGCTTTAGTCAAAGAAGATGCTTGTGGAATATGTTGCTATGGCTCTATCCACTTTTTCTGCAACAGAAATTGTCACATATGCTGTTAAATATAATATATAAATATATATTGTAAGTAAGGTCACCAATGATACACCTGTATGGATTTAGAAAGGGCAGAATTGGGGATGGCTCTAGTAGGCCAACATGTATTATTTGCAGTAGCTGGTTATATCCCAAAGCACAGGAAAATATGAGATATGCAAGCCTGGATTTCCATCGCTACCCAAAGAAACACCCCTCCGCTAGGATTATCCTTTTATATGGAGCATAATCCTGTTTTACTTGCCTTAGTCCCTATTCACACCTTGGCATACCAAGAACACACGTCGTGTTCAGGCATGTTCGTGCATGTTTATTCCCGCGTTTGCCACACATCGCCCATTGATTTCAAAGGGTGCTGCACGCGTGACCAATGCAGGAATGTAGCACATGTAGCAAATTCTGCTATGGGCATCCTGGGTTTTCTCAGACACGTTTGTGCACATTTCAATGCGCATTCATGCACAGGAAAAATGCACATTTTCCTTGCTGCGTTTAAGATGCTATTAACAAGTAATGACACTGCAAGCGGGTTGCGCATTTTTACACGTTTCGTGATTGTGTGTCAAAGCGTGCCCATGACGCACATTTGGCACGCATTTACGGAATGCAAAGGTGTGAATGGGGACTTAAACTGGCACTTTATATATAAACGTACATGACCTGATTGCATTTCTTCTGATGATGGGAAAAATGTGTAGCTTATAACTATGCATGGAGAAGCCATCAATTTGCTATTGTCACATGTAGCCATAGTCAGAGTACAGAGAACAGTATATCCAGTCCCCTAAGGGATTTTATCATATGCTAACAAATATGAATACAAAAATATATATTGTTTAACACAAAGTTGAATACTTCCAATCGTTCGAGGGAACAAATAACTGTATAAAAAGTAAACTTACCGTTTTCATATCTTCAAATGTAATTGCCATCACATTGCCTTCATCAATATGATTGTTCCACTCAACTAGATAATTGAAATATGATCCATAACACACTAAAACACAAAGGAAAACTTGTTAGACACACAAAATAAAATCCTAAGTAAATGTAATATATATATACACTGAGTGGCCAGATTATTATGACCACCCCATCAGTACTTCGTTGGGCCACGAGATAACTCCACGAGATGACTTCGTTGGGCCGCCTCGTGACTCCACGAGATGTTGAAAGGTGATGCGAGGAATCTGACACTGCACTGTTGCCCTTCTGTTGTCTTGTACCAGTCTTGCCTCTCTCCGTTCTGCCCTAACATTGACTAGTCGCTGACGGCCACAATTTGCGCGTTCAGATCCAGATTTTTGGCTAACAGTCCAGACTTTAAACACTTTAACAACAGCTGCTCTTGAACATTTAACGAATTCTGCTGTTTTGCCAACAATCATCCCACGTTCAAAGGCTGTTAAATCGTGTTGTTTACCCATATCATATTTACAATACAATTTACAATACAATACAATTTCAGTACAATAGGGTTAGGGGTGCCCTATTCGTGAGAGCTTATTTTCTGTTACCATGAAATAAAAAAGTATCCATTATTACTAAAATCACTATTTCCCCTAAACACCACCAGGGCAGCGGCCCCCTGATAGTTGTTACACATTTATGAAACTAAAAAATCTAAACTAAAATCAATTTTGATTTCCAATCATTTTTTTTTTAAATTAGGTGAGTTGTCATTATGTTTTTACTTACAAAGAAACCTTTAATATGTTAGACTAATAAATTACCATTCCCATGTATAAAATCATTGAAAAACAAATTCCAAGATTCATATGTGGGAAGTGCAGGCATGTTTTTATAAAAGTTGAAAAACGAGATGGCTGCATCTTTTGGGTTGCGAATAACGATCAACATCTATAGGAAAAAAAAGAAACAAAAAACAAATTAACTTTTCTTTCACCGTTACCGCACAATCACTCTCCAGTCTGTAATGGCAAGAAATGTTTAGCTTTAGAATATTCAGCTTTCACAGCCCAAACAGCAGACAAATATACATTGATTTATTATTTTTTTTACGATAGAAAAAAATCATGCACTGCGATGCGTTCTAGCAATGCATTGCAAAGCATGTGCCTGGCGTACACCACAATATGGTGCACGTGTATGTTATGTGTGTGTGGGGGAGGGGAGGGGGGTTTGTGCTTTTTTTATTTACACATTTTTTATTTATTTTTTAATTATTATTTATTATTAATTTACTGTTGGGGGGGCTTCATGGAAATATTAGGGGTCTAAACCCTGTCAGACCCCTGACATTTCCCTTTTGAAATAGAAAAAGACATTGAGGACACTGAGTCCTCAATGTCTTTTTCTGCAGCCTCAGCACTCAATGAATGGGAAGCACTCAGTACAGAGGCTTCCCATTCATTCACAAACTGCTGATACTAAGATATTTACTATCAAGCAGATTCTCAATGGGGAAAAGCCTCTGTACTGAGCGCTTCTCCCCATTGAGAAATTCATGAATGGAGGTGATGTAAATTCATAACTGGGGACACATAGTACTATGTGTCCCCAGTTATTTACAAACACTGTAGTGATCAGACGATCACTTCAGTGTTTGTGCTGTACACGGAGGATCGGTAAATATCAATGATACTTACCGATCCTCCGCTCAGCCACGCACACAGCCGCTGTCATCCTGAAACTGACAGGAGGACAGCGGCAGGCGGGGAGGAGAGCGGAGCTATCCTCCTGTCAGTTTCAGGACGGCAGCGGCTCCCCCCTCGGATCCGCCACTGACCTGCACACCCGACCGACTGGATGTCACTTCCGCCCTCAGACGAGCAGCATCGCTGATGGGGCCCCAGCTTGTCTTGAAGCCGCTGGAGCGGCAATGCTGGGGCCCTACGCTGCTAGGGCCAATCCTCCATCCCCGGCTGCTGCGGGGGCCCGGCCGCCTCCTCGCACTTCACCATCGGCCGATACTCATGTGTGGGTCCCGGGCAGGCCCCGGAGGCTGCCCGGGCCCCTTACATGAGTATCGGCCGTACCCCCCTGACAGCGGCCCTGGGTATATAGTCATACCTGACAAGATAAACCCATGTGCTGTTGATTTATTAACACTCAATTAGTGTGAGTGGACTTTAGATGATAGATTTCAAGTTACCCCAAGTTCTCAAGGATGCTGAAAACAAATGATAACTTCCAACAGCTTTTAGTTAGCAACAGTTTTGAATTCTTATAAAAAGCCCAGATAAGTTTATGAAGCTACCATGATGGTATTGGCATGTTATAACATCAAGTCTATCTGCCATCTACAGTTTGGGTTTTTCATAAAATAGGGAACATAGTTTATACAGGCCTGTTCATTTTGGGGTGGGTGGGGTGAAAATATAACAATGATGAGCTAAATTTAAGCTGCAGCAAAAAATCTGAAATTATTTTTTATGATTGCAGTACATTTAAATCTAATTGGTTTTTTTTATAGGATACTGTACTGTGTACATATATATTCACTGATCTTTGTGTTGGCATTTCTATACTAGTGAAAGCTAGGCATGCATATAGATATCGCAGTATCAGTCAAGCAGTCCAGGACCGCTATCTTTTAAATGAAATTAATGCACTGTACCTCCATAGTTCATGGATTTGTGTGTGGTGCTAACCTGAGTAATTACATAAAAAGTGTTTATGCAAACCATAGTGTTCTGCATACATTTTAGGTGATCATTTAAATATCACTGCTTCCAGGAAACAGCAAATGACTCAAAATAGAACTTACCTGTGTCTTCTTTTCAAAGAAAGACTTTGGTATCATTTGAAAATTCAAATGTGTTGAAAGGATCCTCGGTGAAGGTTGTTCTTTAAGTCTCTAACAGGATAACAAAAAGTAAATGCTTTAGGTATACACCAAAAAAGCTAAGAAATGTAAAGGCTTGATCAATAAAGCAGAGCAAATCTTAGCTCTTTTTGGCTACAATAGATTAATATCTTGTTACCATGGATTTTTGCACTTTGCATGTACAATAGTGATTGCTTGCTATGGACTGTACTTTTGCACATGCACTATTAATTATATTCTGCAATGCCTTATTGTATAAGCCCAAAAATAATAATAAAAAAAGCAGCATGACTACCTTTTAATTCATTGCCTGTTTAAATTTAATTTAGTAGCTAACAGACCATTGCTTTATCAGCTTCTTTTGGGTCCCTAGGTGGCATTGGGGGTCTAATAGGTCAATATGAGGACGTGTCACTGTATCTGTGCTATAACATAGGGGGCTTGTTAGGCCCCTATGTGATAGAAATAAAGTTAAGTATAAAACATTTTTTTACAATTAAAGTTAAAAAAATACATAAAAATATTAAAAAAAACATAGAATGTACCTACGTGCGAAAATGTCGATTGAGCCACACATGATACATATCACCTTGAACGTCAGAGTGCGAGCAATAATTCTAGGGCCATTAATTACTGTTAACACTAAATTAATGAATGGTAAAAGCTTTTAAAACATTGAGTAAGTGTTAAAATTCATTTCAGTACAGCGTTGCATGAAGGAATAAACGTCAGTCAAAGTACCGCAGCGCTGAATACTGAAAAATGGCCTGGCCAGGAAGGGGGTCTAAACACCTGGTCTTGAAGTGGTTAATATAGTAACAGATTAAAAAAACCCGTAGTTATTAAATACCACCAAAAGAAAGCTCTATATGTTCCCAAAAAAATTATATAAAATTCATTTTGGTACCATGTTGCATGACGGAATAAAAGTCAGTCAAAATACCTGAGCGCTGAATACTGAAAAATGTCCTGGACAGGAAGGGGGTTTAACTCCCCGGTCATCAAGTGGTTAAACTCTTAAACTAAAAAAGTTTTTTTTAAATAAAGTCAAAATTAAAGTGCTCTCCTCTGACAAATCAATAATAAAAACAATGATCTTTTTGTTGGAAATGCAACAGCATATTCTAATGTACCGATATATATTTTGAGCTGTAGATGTCGCTGTAGTGCAATGTTAGTCTCTATGTACACGCTTATCTATGATACACAGGAAGTTTCTTTCTATATGTTTTTTCTTCTGCACAATGCCATATTGTAATGCATACATGTAATGTTCTTCTAAACAAGTAACATTTAATTCAGCATTTCTCAAGATCTCAGTGCTTCATCTAAACACACTTTTTAGGTATATATCATCCAACTGTTTTCTACAGCCCATCTGTTTAATTACTTCTAATTAGTTATTACATTAAGATCAGTGTTTTTAAATTATCTATTTATACCAACCTCTAACATCTGTGGACTTCCAAATTCAATCATTGGTTGGTCTAGCACGGTTTCTTGATTTTTAATAATGCTCACCATTTCATGTAGTATTTGGATTACCCAGTTAGTCCCTACAACCAATGGAATAAGAGCATTAAAATACTGACATCTGTGTGCTTTACAGTGCTTATGTTCAGTGTCCCCCTTAACTATCCCTGATTCCCACCAATAGTACATATTTTGTTCATATCCTAACAGGTAGCTAAACAACATTTCTAACCCTACAACCCACCCCACTCCTTAAGTTAGAGATGCTTGCTCCTAACCTTCTATCTCTGTTTCTACATGAAAGGGAATGTGTTTTATATTTTCTCCATTATCAATTTAATATGTTAAGGATTAAAATATAAAACGTAATACTTTTATATATATGAATGAGTGTGCAGCGCTTGGGGTAACCAATAGGTGAACTAAAGCAATCAAGTTGTTGAAACCGTTTTATTAAAACAAAATGTAGGTGTTTATAATCTTTAGTGTATATTCTGCTACCTAGTGGTAGCCAGTGAGATATTAAATACCAAATTTCACTTCGTGCAGCAATGCAATGAAATAAACCTTATTATGAAAAACCTTCTTATATATAAAAAAAATGACCTTATTACAATGAATTAAAATTATATTAACGTGCATCAAATCAATCAAAGGGTCATATGCGCAAGTGATGAATAATAAAGTGAGTCCAAACTATTATTAAATGCAATTGTATGTAGTATATTGATGATAAAAAAAACTCCAAAAGGTGCTTAACAGTCTTTCTCCCACACCATGTGTTTCACGACAAACTCCCCTCTGGGGTGCGCACTCACCAATTCTTGTCATCAAAGAATTGACCTGTGTAATTTCAAAGCCATTGTATCTAATTTTTAGAGACTCTCTAATGACTGTCTTGGTACTGATGGATTGGCTGGCGCAAGGCCAATGTGGTGCCTATATTTGAAAAGAGATCAAAGATAATTTTTATATTTAAAAAGAGATTATTTAGAACACAGCTCTAGCCAAAATATTGTTTTAGTTTTTGATAGAGTGGATATGAGATAGAAATAGGCAGGTAATCTCCCCGGTGGCTGCCATTTGTGAAGCCACTGGGGAGATATTCTGTGGTCACAACTACAAAAAAAAGCAAAATCTCTGACCTGTGGGCAGACACTGTAAAAAAAAGTCTCTGTCAGGTTTTTGTTGCTATTGGCAACTTTATTGGGAATATTTTCCCCAGTTTCTGTTTGGCCACAAAGACAGAAAAGGGTCCATGGAACATTTGTGCACAATTATTGCAGCAATCGGCAAGCACGTATCAGCACTATCCAGTACTAAACCTATTATGGTTCCTCCACCTCTAAGTGTGCCTGAGCTTCCCATTACTATTTCTGATTCAGGTTCAGAACTTTCACTGATGTCTCCTTAAGGGCTTGTAGTTCAGTAAGTCCCATATGACATAGTGTAGCTTTACAAGGTGTTATTGATCCTCTGATTGATCCACACCAGTGGCGGTGCAGGCGGTGCGGACGCACCAGGGCCTCGGGCCTCTGCGGAGGCCAGCCTGCCGGTGGCGGCCGAGGAGTCAGGGGCCAGGCAGTGAAGAAGAAGGAGGCTGATGTCTGGAGGTGGAGGAGGCCGGGGCCCAGCAGCGGGCGGCTTGGGGCTGACAGGTAAGAGGAGCAGGTAAAGGGAGCCTGACCAGCCCACCTGAGACCTTGCAAAGCCCACCATAGATAGTCTATGCAGGGTCACTCTCAGATGGGCTCTGTGGGATCTCTGTTAGGCTCAGCAGGGTCTCTGCTTGGCTCTGCGGGGTGCCTGGTGTATTTTTTTTTTATTTGGGGGGGGGGGGGCAAAAAAAACTTGCACCAGGGCCCTTTGTTCCTTAGCTCCGCCACTGATCCACACTAGTTGAAGATGGTCTCATGTTTAAAGATTTCACTGCTTATTACTTGGGTTTCGTTGTAAATTGTCAGTTGAAGTTATCTAGTATAACCATCTGGCCCTTATTGCCGGTGATTTGTGCACCCATGTAAGATGGAGTTAACTCTCTTAAAGGAGACCACTGCATTTCCAGGTCAAATCATCATAACTTGTAGACTTTGTAACAATGATCTAAAGACCTGTGTTTCAGGTGTGATTGTCACTTGCAAGCGTCTAAGCTTGTGCCTCGTATGAGCTTAATGTCTGTTTACATGTGTAGGGCATTATGGCTTTGTGCCTGGCATTCTGAAGACACTCTAAAAGAGTGTTTAATTGCTCATCATTTAATTGTAGTTGTCTTTTCTGCTATGTCCTTAATAATGTCTTCCCTGATGCCTCTCATGGTCAGAGTGTACAACTACCTCGGTACAGAAGATCTATAGATAGGGCAGAACACATTCTTCCTCTACTTCTACAGCAACACCTCTGTATAATCATATGTCCCCATTTTTACAAGTAGGATGCTGTCTATTGTCCTGCTAGATAATTTCTTTTTTTGTATCCTATATTGTATCAAGAATCTTTATTTCTATCCTCTTCTAACATTCTTGCACTCCTTTTTCTTTTTTTTTCATAAATACTTGGTTCTCCTGTACCCTGAGATTGCTGATCCCTACTCTAGTATCTATATGTCTTTGAGTATGTTATCCCCACTTAATCACACACTCCGCTCCACAGTGGAGTTCTCTTCTATTAGTTGGATTGTACTCCTCATTATACATTCTCCCTTTGGATGTATATACACCCTAATCCTGCAGTCCGATTCTACAAACAGATGATTTTTAGATCCCCGAATCATATATATTCTCACTTCAGGGTCCTTTACTTAACCATACTTACCTCTTCCTTGTAAGGAAGCATTCATCACTATAATAGTCCTGTACCCTCCTTGAGGGTTAGTTGACAGAACCCTCTATCATCCTACTGTACGCCTCCTTTTAATGGGATACTGTAAGCTCAAAGCCCTGTGAGGACATGTTTAATTAAAAATATTTGCCGGCTTATAAGGCGACTGGGCGTATAAGACGACCCCCTAATTTTTCAGTTAAAGCATAGGTTTTGGGCTATACTCGTCTTACCCAAAAAAAACATTAGTCAGCCCGTTGAATGTGCGGTTATACTGTATGTACGGTAGCTTTGGCTACATACAGTATACCGCGCTAATGACCCCAGTGCACCCCATGATTTTAGACTACCCCACAGCATCCTGTGTCATCTAGTGACTCCAGTGCACCCCAGAGCATCCTATGTCACCTAGTTGCCCCAGGGCACCCTTATGCACCCTGTGACTCCTGTGCACTCAACAGCATACTGTGTTCTCTAGTGACCCCAGTGCACCCCGTTGTGTCCTGTGACTCCCGTGCACCCCAAAGTATCTTCTCATCTAGTGACCTCCCACTAATCTGTCAGCCCGCTGTATGTGCGGTAATACTTTATGTACGGTAGCTTCGGGTACATACAGTATACCGTGCTGAGCCAATCACGACGAGCGATGTATTCTATTAATGAATACAAAGCCTGCTCGGATTGGCAGAGGTTGTGTACATCACTCGCCGTGATTGGCTCAGCTCGGTATACTGTATGTTGCCGAAGCTACCGTACATACAGCATTACCGCACATCCAGCGGACTGACAGATTAGATTGTATACCCGGCGTATAAGACGACCCCCGATTTTCGGGGGATGTTTTTAAGTTAAAAAAAGTCGTCTTATACGCCGGCAAATACGGTAGTTCCTCTCTGGACACTTTTTCACAAATATTACTCTAGTGCTCATAAGTGGATACCTATCCATACATCCTTTGGGGTAGATAACCCCCTTACCCATTAAATCTAGGAATCAGCCTGAATTTGCTGATTCCTAGAATTATATATTAAATACTAGGTCAGGCAAATTTCTGCATGCCTATCACATCCCCGAAATACTTGAGTCTGAACTGCAAGGATTCCTTCTCCTCCTTCTGTCCTTTGTATTTTGCCAGTTGGTGTTAAAAGGTATCTGCTTGTCTGACTATACCCTTTTTATGTGTTGTATATCACCTTACCCTCTCCTTTTATGGATTCAGGGTTGCTACCTATCTCTTTGAGAGACCGACTTTCTGGAAACTTTCAGGAAACTCACCTTATGTTATAGTTCTCCCAATGAAGTCAGGGGTTAAAGGTGCTTTAACTAAACCTTTGGCTATTTACTACTTGGTCTATTTTTATGGACATACTTTCTCTGTTCCAGCTTCCTCCTCCTGAAGTTAAAGATTTGATATAGCTTTTTTTTACCTCAGTAAACTACCTATTGTAAACCACCTTATCTATTGGGCTAAGCTGTTTATTTCCTGTTCAGTTAGCTGTCCTCCTGTTTTTTTTTCCTTATGGTGGATGATTGGTTGTCCTCCATATTGCTAGTGAGGTCCATTACTCCTTCAGGTAACAGCTACCCTTCTGAGACTAACTCTTTTAGCCTGAAAATTCCAGGTTAAAACTATGTATGGCTTGCTTGCAGTGACCATTCCATATTTGATTGGCTTTTCTCCTTCTGTCAGGTGTTGATTCCTTTGTCCAACCCTTGTAGTAAGGCTCCACATATGCTGAATGTCTCAGTGGCTTTGCCCAGCCATCGGTTGGATTGCTTTTGGACCTCGCACATGTCCAAGAATGACTACAATACCTTGCTGCTTAATGGACAATAAAGAAAATAAGATTTTTGCAATTACTAGAAAGTAATTGAGAGACTGAAAGTCCATTGAGGGACCCTCTGTGTCACTGGCCTTGTGTACTGCTTGCTCACAAACTGAGGCATAGTGGTTGAAAGTGGGGTTAACTTAATGCATTTTGAATATATTTTGGCTGGAGCTGCCCTTCAAGTCCTCTGCAAATAAAAAAAATATTACATAATAAAAGGATAAATCTTACATAACCATTCCTTGCTTTCAAGTGCACCTGTACCTTATTCCATTACTGAACAGTAACATAATCTTGTATTTGACATCTATAATTATCACGATTATCTACGTACACTCCCATTCCCAGGCATATCACCTTTTCATCCCCCCGCAAAGCTCTAAAACATGTTTTGCTGCAATGTACAAACAATAATAAATATGAAGGATCATAATTGT